AGGCTCCAGGGAGAACTTCGCAGTTTTCTTCTGGTCGTGGGAAAATGAAAAGCTGGAAAATGTGGCTTTGGTGGGGGTAGTCTGGGAACACCAGGGCTCATGTTTACACCTTCCTCTTCCCCTCCGGTTCAAATCAGGTGATACTGTTTACAGAGCCAGAGCTGAAAGTCAGGTAGAAGACGTGGTGTGGTGCCGGGATTGGGAACGGCACCGCGACTCCTCGCCAAGGAGAAGCCACAACTTTCCTGTTGCTGTCTCACAAACCACCTTTGGTTTTTACCTGGTTTCTTTTTTAAATTGCTTAAAACTCCACCTTAGCCTTTTCCTGAAGGATTTTCTAAAGCTCTTAACCTTCGTACCTCCCTTTGGGACAGATGAAGAGAGCTGTCCTGCTGCCAGAGTCACTGAACATCAATATTTGTTTGTGGGTTCGTTCCCTGAAGAACAGTGGCATCTTCCTGTTGAGTTTTATTTTGCAGCAGGAAATTTCAGTGTTGTTATTATTTGGCAGAATCTCTCGTTAGGTTACATAAGAGCTCCATTCTCTCCCTCTGATGTTTCCTGTCGTTGCTGGATTTGGAGGCTTGAAAGCTCATCAGCACCGAGAGGAGGATAAAACAAAAAGGAAGGAGCCTCTAGACCTTTGAAGGTGGCAGTGCTGTGACAACTTTATGATCAGCCCTACCTTCTGGCTGATAAAACACTGCACAGATAGCCAGGCTGGCTTGTTTTCCATCCCACCAGATAGAAACATGCAGAGGGAAAGTGATGCAGGATGTTAAACTTTGCAGAGTCCCTTCCTGACGTCGCAGAGTTCCGTTATCAACAGGAGCTGGGTGCTGTTTGTGATCTCAGCTGTGCTTACCGGCGTGTTTGGCTTGTCTGGCCTCACAACATCCAACCACCTCAGTCCCTCTTCATTTTTTGATAGTTTTAGGATCTCTAGTTGAGCTGTGGCCTGTGAGTCTGTTTCTCTTTAGAGTTGCTGTAATTTCTTCTGAACTATTAGTCGCTGCGTGCAGTCCCTCGGGGAGAGAGGAGGGAGAGGTCAGCAAACCTGAGATTGCCAGGGGGTGTGGGAGAGAGCTGTGACTTGACCTGAAGTATTTCCTTCTAAGTGATGATGTTGGGAAGGGGTTGGGATATGGATCTGCTGCTCCCTGGGGCTGTAAGTGTCCAGCGGGGAGGAGAAGATCTTTGAAACAACGGGATCGTTTAGGGGAGGGGCTCTTCCTGGAGCCCCATTTTCTGTCTGGGGTCCTTAAATTTAGTTGGCCATGAAAAGCTGCAGCATGGATGGGAAGAGGAGTGAAGTGACTTTATTTTGAGTTGTTAAAGTGAAAAGTCTGGTTTTATCTGAAGGCAGTTTCTCCTGGATTTAACTTTTTCACTTGGATACACAAATGGGTTTGTTCTGGGAGACCAGGGCTTGCCTTTCCCCGGCCAGGGATGTGTGTGGTGCAGACATTCCCAGTCTTGTGCTCTCAGTAACTCAAACCACTCGTGGTAAAATCCCAGAGCCTGACTGCCCCACGGACAAGCTGACTCTAGACTTGCTCATCAGAAGAGCTCAGCTTTGGATATTCCCTGCCATTTTTAATTTTAATTTATTTTTTCTTTTGCTTGTACCTTTTCTGCATTTTTACTGCTCTTTGCTTGGCTTTGGCTTTCACCTGCTCTCACCTCTGGGCCGCCTGTCACACCTGAACTGTGCCTGTCTATCCCATGCCATGCAGTTGGTTGTGCGGCCGCTCCAGCAGTCTCCTGCCAGCATGTTACACGCACTCGCTGTGATCGGGGGGCAAATATCTCAGCCTGACCCTTCACTTGTTGCCTCGGTAGATGGCTTTTCCCGATCATCGGCCACATGGGCATCTGCACGTCCACTGGAGTCATCCGGGACTTTGCAGGGCCGTATTTTGTCTCGGTAAGTAGATGATGGATCAAGGTGCTTCAGCAGAATCTGTGCTTGGTCTGTTTCTCACCTACCTGAGGAAAGGCTGAGGGAGCTGGGGCTGTTTAGCTTGGAGAAGAGGAGACTGAGGGGAGACCTCATTAATGTTTATAAATATGTTAAGGGCGAATGTCAGGAGGATGGAGCCAGGCTCTTCTCAGTGATGCCCAATGGTAGGACAAGGGGCAATGGGTGTGAGCTGGAACACAGGAGGTTCTGCTTCAACTTGAGAAGAAACTTCTTTCCAGTGAGGGTGCCAGAGCCCTGGGACAGGCTGCCCAGGGAGGGTGTGGAGTCTCCTTCTCTGGAGACATTCAAGACCCGCCTGGACACCTTCCTGTGTGATCTCATTGAGGTTCCTGCTCTGGCAGGGGGGTTGGACTGGATGATCTTTTGAGGTCCCTTCCAATCCCCAATATTCTGTGATTCCTGGGTGACTTTTGAGCCATCCCTTGTCTTTTGCAGCTCAAAATTTTGCAAAGTGATGGATTAGATGTTTCTGAAGATCATGGATCTTTGCTGTTACTCTGTGAGCTGGTCTCCAGTGGAGTTCATTTGGGGGATATGATAGACAGTGACTAGTTTGATTTGATGAGCAGAAAGGGGGAAAAAAAATCTTGTAGTCCAGGCTCTTAATTGAGAATTGTGGACCTAAATCCTCTTAATTCTGAGTAACAGAAGCAGCTTTCCAGCTTCCTCAGCACGCACATTACTGTCATGTTGGCACATCAGGTATGTGCCAGTCTTCTAAACTGCTTTGTAGCCTGGTGGATTTTGAAAGTAAAGGAGTTTTAATGGGGTTAATTAGTACTCTTAATAGATTGGGACATTTACAACTTTGAGTTAATAAGATACTAATGGTTAAAAAAATATTAAAAAAGGAGAGGGAACAAGGTATATGGATGAAGTTACTGTGTATAGAGGATAAACACACTCGTGCCCAGAACAGGAGTATGAAAACAATTGAAATCTAAATCCTCTTGAGACTTTTTTTTCCCTTTATTTTTTGTAGGAAGACAACATGGCATTTGGGAAGCCAGTGAAGTAAGTGCTCTTGTTAGTTTTTATTAAACTAACCAACTGAACCTGCAGATTCCTTTAATTCCTGGAGACAGATGTGCTATAATATTGCTTTTCTTGTTGTTCAGATGCCCTAATTCAAGTGGATGGCTACTGTGTCTCTGCTTTTCAAGAAACCACATTAAATTAAATCTTTTTAGAAGCGTGACAGGAATGTAATGGTGTTAATAACCAGAGCTGTGTGGAGCCTTTATTAAAAAATAAAAGAAAAAAAAGAAAAGACTAAAACATTTTAAGATAATGTTAACAACAAGTGCTCCAAGTAAATACTGCCTGTGCTGTACTAATGAACTGTCATCACTCACATCCCGGTAATGATTTTCTGGGAGGAGGAGGAGAAGGAGAGGTGCCTGGGTTTTATGTATCTGTCAGATCAGGTTTATGTTTTGAATGGCCTGAAGGTTTCAGATCATGGGATGTGAAAGCAGTTCGGAGTTTGGTCTGTGCCCCTGAGGTCTGCAGTTTCTCTCTCTGGGGTGCTGAGGGTGCTGAGCATTAATTTCTGCTGCCCTGGGCAGCCTAGGCTTGTCTTGAAGAGCTCAGCTCCATGGACTCCAGAGGTAGTGGATTTCCTCTAAGTTCTTTAAGCATCTTCCTGATGGGAAGAACAAGAAGTTGTAAAGCTGGAGCAGTAATGCAAGGGGATCTTTTCTCATCCTTTTAGGTACTGGAAACTGGATCCCAGCAAAGTATATTCCACTGGTCCCAACGCTTGGGACACGGCTGTACACGATGCTTCAGAGGAGTACAAGCACCGAATGGTACGGCTCTGACGCTGATGTGTGGAGAAATATCTCGCCAGGGTTTGGATCCTGTGGGTTCTGTGGATCTGCACCAGCACAGGGTGCAGAACTGTGGAGTCTCAAGGATAGGATTGCTAATCCCATACTCCTTTTTCTGTTCCAGCACAACCTTTGCTGTGATAACTGCCATTCTCACGTGGCTCTGGCCTTAAACTTGATGAGATACGATAACAGCACCTCCTGGAACATGGTGAAACTCTGCTTCTTCTCACTCCTCTATGGGAAGTATGTAAGGTGAGCTGAGGGGCTTTGGTTCTTTCCTCCTGACACTCTAAAGCTTTAGCATGTTCTGTGGAGAAGGGAGAAGCATCTCTCCCCCACAGCATGTGGGTGTATATTGCTGGTAGGTGGTACTGTCACTGCTGCCTGTTCTCAGGAGAAGAACCAAGAGCATTTGCTGGGTTGCACTGGCTGCTGCTCCCAAAATGCTGTATCTGGCAGCTCATTTGGGGTGCCTGGAATTTGGGAAATGCTGGCTGAAGCAAATCTCGCTCTGTGTTGTCTTTTGGCTGAGTTAGGTCAGTACATAAGGTCACAGAATGGCTTGTCTCCAAGGATTACTGATTTTTCTTCCCTCTCTTGAGTCTTGTTTACATAAAAACGAGTCAGATTTCCAACTGGCGTGGAGCTTCCAACTTGAGTGGAGAGGGAAACCCCAAGCTTTCCTCACTAGAAAGGGCACTTCATCTCCATGTCAGCTCCTTGTGCCTGTCAAGGAGATTCTGCAAGGACTGCCCTGCAAAAAGCTTTTGAGTTACTCCACTTCTCTTGGGTCTTTCCCATTCTGAAAGAGCTTCTCTACCAGCTTTTAAACAAGTGTAGTCCCTGCTGTCTTGATTAAATACACCAGCAGTCTGAATAAGGAGGCCTGCAGTAACAGGGTTTCATTTTTTGTGGTTTCCTGTCACCACTCTTGTTTGTGCAGATGTGAAATGTGCTAGTCTTCAACCTGAATTTAAGCTGGAAGGCGAGTCCAACCCTGTTGTTCATGATATAGTTATTTGTGGACTTGATTGTCTCAATTTTTAACATGAATTGAAACCTCCAGGACGTGTTGAATGGCAGTGCCAGCAATGGATAAGGAAGTCAGAAGGTGTCTGTCTCCCTCTGATTTCTCCATTTATTCTCACATCCTTCTCTTCCTCTTGTCTTTCTCTGCTGATTTCCTACATTTACACCCTCCCCCTTTTTTTTTCTTGCAGCATAGGGGGATTTGTGAAGACCTGGCTTCCCTTTGTCCTCTTCTTGGGAGTGATCATGACTGTTGTTCTGACACTTCATTTGCGGTGATGGCAGCTGTGAACTCCCCATTCCACGGGCACACAAAGGAAGAAACTTGTGACTGATCCAGCGAGATGGAGGCGTGGGGCTCTGGGACGTGTTTTCTGGGGAAGGTGGCAACTCCACTCCATTGTAACAGCTCATCTTTGTTTCCTGGAACTGGCTTCTTTTCCTTCTGTGGTTTTTTTTTTTTCCTGTTGATGGCATCACCCATTGTCAGGGGTCCCACAGCCTCCTGCTCTCTCCCTGCAATTTGGTAGGTAGGAACACAATCAGGAAAGGAGAGGTGTGGACACCTTTGCTTTCAGTGCCAAGTAAAAACCTTCAAGGCAAACCCCGACTTGTGGTTCAGGAGCACAAGCAGATACACCTTGTAAGGTTCTCTCTGATTACCTGGTTTCTTCCTCTTGCCAAACTTCATCAGATGCTTCCTCAGATTTCCTGAGTCTCCAAGGAGGAGTTGTTGTTTCTCTGTTGTGTGACTCTCCTGTAGCACATGTTTCAAAGTGGAGGTTCCTCCTGAGGGTGTTGAGTGCCACGGCACTGGCTGACGGTGTCCCCAGTAGTGACAGGAAGGTGTTGATGGTGGGACAGTCCTCTGAGGAACGCTCTGTGGCAGGGCAAATACATCTGGTCCTGCTGGTGAGCCCAGAAAGGCAGGAAAGTTCATTGACTGGCTTAGAGTTTGGCTCATGGCAGTCTGCATGCCTTCAAGAGCCTGTTGTAGAGTTTGGAGTCTGCTGCTAAGTCCCTTTTAGCTTGTGCCAGAGAAAATACAGATTCCCTGCTTCTCCTTGTGCTCTGAATATCTCAAGTTGTCGTTACACTTCTCATGAGCCGCTTACTTCCCTTTGATCTCTAGCACTTTGTGTGTGGCAGCATACCTGAGCCTGCAGAGGTGTTGCTACGTGTTTCTGGGACAGAAGACTTAGCAGAGGGGTTTGAAAGCATCCATGAGAGCAGCACCTGAGACCTGAGCTTAGTGAGGCCATCAGAGATTAAAAGAAAAGGTGAAGGGACTGGAAAACATCCATGTTCTGACTGGGCTTTGCAGCAGCAAACTGGGACACTGGCTTTCTTGTGGCTGGCTCCAGCATGGTGAACAAGAAGGTCTGTTTCCTTCCTTGGTGTGCTTTGAAGAACACTCATGGGGGTAAAAGTCCTTTTCAGGGCTGGCTTTGATGTGAGAAATGTTGGTCTGGCAGTGTTGGGGGGGCTGATGACCCTTTTGAACCCTGGGTCGGGCAGGACGGGTAGGAGGGGGATAGGTTGTTCTTGAGTGCTTGGCAGGAAGAGAATTTGGACATGAGCCTCTTCCAGGGTGGGAGGTCCAGGTCTGTGTTTGCTGAGGCTCTGGCCTGCAGATGCTGCTTTCTGTGGGGCCCTAAGCCAGATGGCTTGTTACAAAAAAAGTGTGGCTGGAGGGTTGTGTGCAGTTGAGCAGATCCCCTCTGACTGCAGAGGAAGGAGAACAGCTTTTCCGCTCATGCCTTGAAACGCCAGCTCTTTACTCCACTGCCTGATAGATTTCAACCTCAAGGAGTGCTCGTGGCCAGCAAGGAAGCTCTTCTCCACTGCCCGCCGTCCCTGGGGCTTCCTCTGACTGGGAAACCCATTCACTGTTGCTCTGCTGGCCCTCAGACCCGTCCCCATGGGCCTCCTCATCTGCTTCCATCTCCCCAACTCCTCTTGCTGTACGAGGGGCCTGGGGACTCCTCTTGGGCCTCTCAATTTCTGCATTTCCTCCTTTCCTCACTCACTTTTAAATAAGCCCTTAAGCCTCTCCCTTCTCCTTAGCACCCAATTGTCTCCTATCATCTGGCCTGTCTGGGGTGGGTGGAGGTGTGCAGACCTCAGTGCCCTTCCCTGTCTACGTGGAGCTGAAATAATCATCAGTGGCTGCTCTGTGTGGTCATTTCAAGCCTGCATGGAGAGCGGGCTGGAGGGTGCTGGGCCTGGGGCTGATGAGAAAGTCAAGATCTTGATCAAAGAGAACCTTACGATGAAAGGTTGATGGTGTCTTACAGAGCTACCCTGTGGTCTCCACCCAGTGAGCCCGCTGGCAAACGTGCCCTAGGACAAGCCAGTTGAACAGGAGAGATCAGTCAGTCCTTTGTCTGTGTTTTTAAGTTGAGTATGATTTCTGAGTGACCTGCCAAGGATGTGCTCAGAGTCCCTGGCCCCAGGGCTGAAGCCAACCTGTCTTACGCAGTAGCAATAATCTAGAGACTCTTAGGCCTGTCTCACACGTTGATTCAGTGTTTTATCGATAAGCTATACAAGCCTTGCCAAAGCTGAGACTTGGAGTTGTCAGGGGAGGCCAGGAGGGAGGCTGCTGGCCAACAGTTCCCACTCCTGGGATTTCTGAGAACATGTTGAGTGCCATTTCCCAACCCTGGAAGTCCTTGTCCTTTGCTCCTCACGCTTTTTACCAGATCTGGGTTTCAAATGGAGACTTTTCGTGAACAGCAAATGGGTCTTGTGGTCGGTTGGACCGTTGGCTGCTGGGGAAGGAAGGCAGCAGTTTGCCCAAGCCCTGGCTGAACGCTCACCCGCTTCCACCAACGGAGACAGGGGATGACTCCGGGCTTCTGAAGGAACCACGGCTAACGGGAGAGCAAGGCTGGGGC